GTTTAATATAAAAAAAAAAAAAAAAAAACGTACCTAAGACTGTAGGAGACCCCCTGCAACAATAAATAGTACGAACTGTTTGATGAGGGCGTGACAGCGGGCTGCAGGGGCATAGTGAAAGCGCGCCAAATGATGCCATCCTCTGCTTGTAGGGAGCTGAATGTGGCGAACTGAGGACGGAAGAACCGCCCAAAAATTCTAATTGCATATGCTGGTTCAGTTCCAGAGTGAATGTGAAATGGTGGCTTGCGGGAAGAGCCTGTGTATGGCGGAGGGTTCAGAAGCAGCTGAGCTTCGAAGCGGGAAATGGAGGGGGGAAAGATAGCGGGCCAAGGATTTTTTTTCGAGCTTCAGAAATATCGTGCTTATCATTTTCGGATAGGGGACGAATTCACACGAGCGGTGAAAACTTTAGCACGTGCGCTTCCTAGTATTTGGTTTTTGTAATTTTTATTTATTTATTTCTCTATTTTTTCAAATTTCGTTACTTTTATTCACTGACCCAAAAATAACTTTAACATCGTACTTTTAACACTATTTTAAAAGTGAAAAACATTAATATTGGATAAATATATCTTTTTAAATAATTAAAAAAACATATCGACAACCAAAATCAATGCGAAAATAGATAGTTAAATTGTGAAGTTTTTCCAAGTTATTTAAGTCATTGACGTAACCATCTTAAAATTTCGAGTTAGTTGAAAACAAGTTCCATGGAAGAGACAGCAGAAGTGAAAACCCATATGACAATTATTATTTGTCGGGATCACTCCTCTAAGAAACGATAATACATTCAATCGAACCCATTGAAATTCCAAAATAATTATGACCCTAACAATTGATAGATTCGTCCTCCCAGACGAGATACATTTCACATCAGGAATCTTTTTGGTTTAAAAAAAAAAAAAAAAAAATGTTCCACAGTCAGAGCTTTGAATTTAACCTGTGTAATTATTGACACATTTCCCACGTTATTGGATAGTAGCAAGGCTTTCCCTATGCGAGTCATCGTGGTGGTAAATTTATACCATTCTTTCAAATATATACAACTTGTAATTGGGATCATACAAATTTTAGAGGCAAACGACGAATATTTATTTTAATTTATGTTTAAAAAAAACAGATTTTTCGTCGATAAAAGGGCCTCCCTCATGCAGCACAGAATTCATGAGTCACAAATTGTAAGCTGTTCGTATCTGCTCTTTTGTGAAGCGCCAGCGGCTCCTCTGCCACCGTTTCAGCAAAGGCTCATCACAAGCTTCCCGCTTCATCCCCATCAACTCCTTTCTCTTTCACCGCTCTTTCAATTCAGTACGCAAAACCGCCTCCTCGGATTGATTAAACCATCCAATTTCATCGTCGTGCCCTTACCAAGATACGATGACCACTAGATTGAACGAAGTTGTTTTAGCTTATAGCGGTGGGTTGGACACGTCTGTTATCGTGCCGTGGCTGAGGTGGGTGGCCATGTTCAAGCTCTTTGTCTTAACAATCATTTTTTGTACCTCTTACTCGTTTGTTTGACATCCATTTTGAAAGCTTTAATGGCGGTATTTGTGTTGTTTTTCCCTGCAGAGAGAGATACGGGTGTGAGGTTGTTTGCTTCACTGCTGATGTTGGGCAAGTACGCATGGCCATACATTGGGTTATGTTTGGTGTAGATTTGGATGTTTGGGTCCATTTTGTTGGCTTATTAGGAATGTGAAATATGCAGGGAGTGATGGAATTGGATGGTTTGGAAGCGAAGGCCAAAGCAAGCGGAGCCTCTCAACTTGTTGTGAAAGACCTGAGGGATGAATTTGTCGAAGACTACGTGTTCCCATGCTTGCGAGCTGGTGCCATTTATGAGAGAAAATACTTGCTTGGCACTTCCATGGCTCGCCCTGTCATCGCCAAGGTTAGATCTTTCTTGATCTCCTCTGCCGGAGGCTACTTAGTTGTACGGAAATTCTTAGTTCTTAGAATTTACCAGCCATTTTTTATGGTTCTACCCGTAATAAGTCTACCGCTAACAGATATTGTCCACTTTGGCCAATTGCGTATCGCCTTCAACCTCATAGTTCCAAAACATGTCTATTAGGGAGAGGTTTCCACACCCTTATAAAGAATGTTTCGTTCCCCTCTCCACCCTTGTGTCTGGTTCTTATACAATTTGTAACCATCTAAGTTCACCGCTAACAGATATTGTTTACTTGGCCCATTACGTATTGCCCTCCACGATTTTAAAACGCATCTGTTATGGAGAGCTCTCCACACCCTTATAAAAAATGTTTCGTTTACCTCTCCAACCAATTTCTAGTAATTCTTAAGGAGATTCCGGTTTGCTTAGGTAAATTTGAGTTAGTAACAGAGGTTATGGTGGTGTTTTTTGCAGGCCATGGTGGATGTTGCCAAAGAAGTTGGAGCTGATGCTGTTGCTCATGGTTGCACAGGGAAAGGGAATGATCAGGTCTGCCTGATTGCCGTAGTTTTTTATTTTCCATCAATATTCTTGAAGGAGAATCTCGTGCTTTTTTTGCTTATTCCGTGCAGGTACGGTTTGAACTCACATTCTTTGCTCTGAACCCCAAGCTACGTGTTATAGCTCCCTGGAGAGAATGGGACATTACTGGAAGAGAAGATGCCATTGAATATGCCAAGAGGCATAGCGTGCCCGTCCCCGTCACAAAGAAATCGATATACAGTCGAGACCGGAATATTTGGCACCTTAGTCACGAGGTAATTGTCATGGCAACCGATTGGTTAAACTGGTTGAAAGTATACTGTTTCATGCTATACAGATTGAATTTGGCTGTCATTTAGATGTTGCATTTCTTGTATGAATGTGATCATTTTCTTTTTGGCTTGATCGGTTAAGAATCACGTACCTCCTCTAATGGTATGATATTGTCCACTTCAAGAATAATTTCTCATGGCTTTGTTTTTGGTTTCCCCAAAAGACCTTATATTAGTGGAGATAGTATTCCTTGTTGATAAACCCATGATCTTTCCCTGAGGTCTATGGAGCCCTCAAACAACCTCTTCTTAATTGAGGTTCAACTCCTTCTAAGGAGTCCTCCAACAATTTACCTCATTTGTTCAATTTGAGTCACTTTTTTACTACTTATTCGAGACTCATAACTTCTTTGTTCGACACTTGATGATATATTGACATGGCTAACTTAAGGGAATGGTTTTGATACCATGTTATGAATCACAAACTTCCACGCTGGTATGATATTGTCCACTATGAACATAATAAACTCTCGTGCTTGTTTTTTGTTTCTCCAAAATACCTCATATTAATGAATATAGTATTTTTTACTTATAAATTCATTATGTTTTCCTTGATTAGCCAATATAGTTTGAGACTTGTGGCTGGTATTCATTTATACATAATGTGTGATTGAAGGGTGACGTTTTGGAAGATCCTACTAATGAGCCAAAGAAGGACATGTTCATGATGTCTGTTGATCCCGAGGATGCTCCGAACCAACCCGAGTAAATTTTCTCCGTTCTTCTTAATTCAACTCCTCTGCATTTCTGCAACTGAACTTAATTTTGTTTGTTGTTGTTGATGGCTGATATGTTGAGATTGATTTTGTCTCAGGACTTCCTGTTGCTGTCAATGGAAAAAGGCTGTCACCAGCTTCCCTTCTTGACCACCTCAACGAGATTGGCGGGAAACACGGCATCGGCCGAGTCGACATGGTCGAAAACCGCCTCGTCGGCATGAAGAGCCGAGGTGTGTACGAAACACCAGGAGGAACCATCCTATTCACAGCTGTGCGTGAGCTTGAGTCCTTAACACTCGACCGCGAGACCATACAAGTCAAGGACTCCCTTGCCCTCCAGTATGCGGAGCTGGTGTACGCAGGCCGATGGTTCGACCCACTACGAGTGGCCATGGATGGATTCATGGAGAAAATAACCGCAACAATAAGTGGAAGGGTCAGGCTCAAGCTGTACAAAGGTTCGGTGACCGTGGCTGGGCTCAAAAGCCCGAACAGCCTGTACAGGCAAGACATATCCTCATTTGAGAACGGGGATGTCTACAACCAGGCTGATGCTGCTGGGTTCATTCATCTCTACGGCCTCCCAACCAGGGTCCGAGCAATGCTTGAACATGGAATCTAAAAAAAGCAAATGATTTGGTGCAAGTCTGAATAAAAAGGAAGAGGGACGTGGGCAAATATGCATGCCTAGTTAGATTTGTGTTATTTCCTAAAATCAAAGGCTAGATATGTAAAATGACGTTTTTCCTCTCTTAACAAAAAAACGATCTATATACAAACTTTCATGTCAATATTCAACCTACACTGGGTTATTAATTATTGTAAAGCCCATTAGATCTTTAAGACGTGTCACATTATAGGAATGATAATTGGGTTATTAATTATTGTAAAGCCCTATCAACCTACACTGTTCGACGATGGGCTTATTAATTTTTCGAAATAGCATCCCTCTCTCGCGCGCTTGTGTTGGGCTTATTAATTTTTCGAAAGTGTTGGGCTTATTAATTTTTCGAAAGTGTTGGGCTTCCAATTGTAATGCTAATGCCACTTATGAATTTTGTTTTATATTATTATTATTTTTTTTTTTTATAAGTTTGTAAAATTTATAGAGAGGGTAGCTTCTAAAACCCCCAAACCCTAAAACCTTTCCCCCGACACCTCCCGCCTTTCTAAGCCATAGAAGGAGAGAAACTGGGAGCGGTTCTGTGGTAGCGTCTCTCTGGTTTTGCTCCCATGACGTCGACGTATCTTCTGTATGAATCTGCTTCTGGCTATGCTCTGTTTCATGCCCATGGCCTCGACGAAATTGGGCAGAATACTGAAGCCGTTCGGAGCTCCGTCTCCGACCTTAACCGCTTCGGCAAGGTCGTGAAGCTTGCTGCTTTCCACCCCTTTGAGTCGGCTCTTGATGCGCTCAAGCAGTGCAACTCGGTCTCCGAAGGTAACTCCCTCAGTGATTTCAGGGATCTTGGATGAGTAAATGTGCATTTTTCACTTTACGATATCGGATGTGTTTGTCTATGTCATTGAATAGTTACTTTCTTATCTCATTAATGGTTATGTTGGTTCTTTGTTTAGGACATGACTTGACTGGTTCTTCTACTAGTGATGTGCTCCCTTGTTCGAGCTTATTTCTACGTGTTTTTGTTTCGTTAGACCACGACAATCTGTTTGAATGAAAGGCCAATGCTTTTAGTTTCGGTCTTATTGTTTTCGCTGTGCTCGTATAGTTGCATGTCATAAGCTTTGACTCTGTCGCGTCAGGATTTTTGCAACTCGTGTTTTCATGTTTCAAACAATGTTGTACATGTTGGAAGGATGATTGTGAAAAAAAAAAGTACTCTCTGCATTAGCGAGAAACCTAACTTCAGTTCTGAACGAATGGCTGAAATCCTTTATAAATCATGAGCTTGTTAGTTTGAGTCGTTTCCTGGAACTAATTTTATTATTGGGTTCTTCATGTTTTACTTCCTTATGATCGAATCTTAAATTTTCGGCTACTAAATAATTTATTGATAAATGACAGGTCTCATGACTGATGAGCTTAGGAGTTTTCTGGAAATTAACCTTCCAAAAGTTAAGGAAGGCAAAAAGGCCAAGTTCGTTTTGGGACTCGCTGAACCCAAAATTGGTTCTAACATATTTGAAGAGACTAAAATCCCATGCCAAAGCAATGAGTTCGTTCTGGAGCTGCTTCGCGGTGTTCGACTACACTTCGACAAATTTATCAAGGACCTCAAGGTTTGCATGCTCCACTTCTCCTAGTATTTTACTTTGGTTTCTGGTTTCTATGTTTTCTCACATGTGTTACTCTCTTGCAAATTTCTTTTATTCATCTTACCATTTATTTGTATTTACAGACGGGGGATTTGGAGAAAGCCCAACTTGGTCTGGGACACAGTTACAGTCGAGCAAAGGTCAAGTTCAATGTTAACCGTGTTGATAACATGGTGATTCAAGCTATCTTCCTTCTTGACACTCTAGACAAGGACATTAATTCCTTCTCCATGAGAGTCAGGTATTTGATTACGAAGAATCATGAGTTCTTGACATAGCTTTTCAATTTGGAAGAACTTGGTTACTGCTCTTACCTCTTTAAGATGAAGATAGTGATTGTGGATACGACGTTAGTGATTTTGAAGTTTTGTTTCTCTGCGAAATCATAAGTGTTTTTCGTTAATGATTTCATGTTACTTGTATGATGCAGAGAATGGTATTCCTGGCATTTCCCCGAGTTGGTGAAGATTGTCAGTGACAATTATCTTTATGCTAAAGTTTCTAAATTCATTGAGGACAAATCGAAGTTGGCTGAAGATAAAATCCCTGCCTTGACTGATATTATTGGTGATGAAGATAAAGCAAAGGAGATTGTTGAAGCAGCTAAAGCCTCCATGGGTACATATTTGGCTTAATATTATTTTTTATTTTCACTCTCATTCCATTACCTGATTTGATAACTGACTATGCTACAGGCCAGGATTTGTCTCCTATTGACTTGATTAATGTCCAGCAATTTGCACAGAGGGTGATGGATCTATCTGAATACAGGAAGAAGCTTTTTGATTATCTAGTTGCTAAAATGAATGATATTGCTCCCAATTTGGCCTCTTTGATTGGTGAAGTTGTTGGGGCCCGTTTAATTTCTCATGCTGGTAGTCTCACAAATTTGGCCAAGTGCCCTTCTTCCACCCTTCAGATTCTCGGTGCTGAGAAAGCACTCTTCAGGTTTGTATCTGATGTAATTTGTTGGAAATAATGGTGTATTATTTCTCTGATCCAGCATCGACTAATGAGATCATTCATCCATTCTGAAATATCAAGACATTATTTCCTCTTTATAACTAGGTTGCCGAGGGTTCAAATTTTGAAATGTTTTGTCCTTGAAACTAAGTTATTGATGTAATTTGTGGACAATATGATGTGTTATTTCTCTGATTCTGCATCAATTTATGAGATTCGTCATTCGTTCTGAAATATTAAAGCTTTATTTCCTCTTTGCCATGGGCTCAAATTTAGTTAGAAATATTGTCTTTAAAACTAAGTTAGAAATGTAGCCACTAAATTCTTCAATTTTATGTTTGATTATGTTCTTGTCATGGAAAGTTTTATTACCAGTTGAGAAATGTCCAATACGTTCATTTTTTCCTATTCAGGGCTTTGAAGACAAAAGGAAACACTCCTAAATATGGTCTGATCTTTCATTCTTCTTTCATTGGGCGAGCATCTGCACGGAACAAAGGCCGAATGGCTCGTTATCTTGCAAACAAATGTTCTATTGCATCACGTATTGATTGCTTTGCAGGTAAAAGTTGCATAGCCAACCTTTTGTATTGGGTAAAATATAGTTCTCTTTGTATAATAAATTATAGCAACCAGTTACTGGGTCTGAGTTGTAATTTTGTATTGCCATTCAGAGAATAGTACCACAACCTTTGGAGAGAAACTTCGTGAGCAAGTTGAAGAGCGCCTTGACTTTTATGACAAGGGAATAGCACCTCGTAAAAACATAGATGTTATGAAATCTGCAATTGAAAGTGCTGATAACAAAGGTAACAGAATGTTTATGGTGGTGGCCATTCAACTAAAAAATTGTCAATATTCATTTGCGGCATGGCGTTGGAGCGTGGCTCTGCTCTGCAACCATGTCTTTTCATGCTTCGAGATTTTCCTTCTAATTTCTATTATTATTTCTGGAAGATGCGTCAGTTTGGGGTAGATTTCCAGCACTGTGGGAGTACCTACTATTCACACTATGATTTGCTTATAAACCACTTTATCGTTGGTGGATCTCACATCCTTTTTGTTTCTTTTGTTTTTTTTCTTGGTATGAGATCCCACGTCATTTTTGAAGTAAGAATGATGCTGATGTGAATGGAAGGAAGAAGCATTCGTACTCTGTTTTTAGTTTTTTGCTGATGTCTTGACTGTGTGACACTAATTTAGTAAATGTTGCAGCAACTGATATGGACATAGAAGAAGTGGCAAGTGAAGCTTCAGGGAAAAAGAGTAAGAAAAAGAAATCAAAGGCTAGTGCGAACGGTGAGGTTGAGGACAGACCAAGTGCCACTGAAAACGGTGACGCGAAATCAGAAAAGAAGAAGAAGAAGGAGAAGCGAAAGTTGGATAAGGAAACAGAGGAGGAGCAGCAGCAACAGGCTTCAGAAATGTTAAATGGAGAAGTAAACGGGGAGGAAGAAGCAGGCAAGAAGAAGAAGAAAAAGAAGAGCAAGGAGGAGGATCATGTTGCTGCAGAAGATAGTAAGAAGAAAAAGAAGAAGAAGTCGAAGAGCGAAGATGCCGAATAGCCTTGTCGACAAACCACAGTAAGTAAGATGGAGAGAGAGAGATGGATGGTGGTTATTTATAGGAGAGGTAGACATGAATGAATTAGTTGCTATAATGTTCTAGCTGTAGAAATGCCGTTTGTGGCTGTTTTTTGGTCTGGGATCCGCAAAACTTGTGCCAATATGATGCTCTTATGATGTTTATGTTGCCGTATTGTCTTAATCTGAACGACTTCCTGTTCTGGAAATGTATTCTAACTCTAATTTTGTCAGGGAAGTTATGTTTTCTTTAACAACTGTCGTAGATGAAGTTCTCTCAGACTCCATATTTTGCCTTCTCTATCTTTAATTTAATGTGATTTTGAAATAGTTAGAAATTATTCCAGAAGAACTTGCATTTCATTATTAAAAATTATTTAAATGCTTGATTTTACACTTATATTAAAAATGATTTTAGCGTTGCGATGATATATTAAGACATTTCCAAAATTAATTAAATTATTATTTGAATTTTTAGAGAATTCACAAAAAATCTACATAAATTAAGAAAGGAGGATATGAGTTTACATAAATTATCATATTAATTAAATATAATTTATTTTTGGAATTAAATAATTGAAAAGTAAAAGAAGAAACACAACTTGTTAAAAAAATTAAAATGAAGACGTGATTGTTACTTATTATTCAATTAAAAAATTGCGAATAAAAAGAAGGGACACGAAGGTCATTTTACACCAAGTCATTATATGTATAAATTGTTGGTAACTGAAGGCCGCCGTGGATGTTTCAAAAGTTAAAGAGGTTTCGAAGGAGAGGTGGTAGCTCGCTGCTGCACAGCTTAAATCTCGTAAACCTCATTGGAGGCTCCGCAAGAGCTTACGGCCGAAGAACAACAACAACAACAAAAAGCCATGGCCAGTAGTTCTGGATCAGCGAGATTAGAAGATGTCCCCTCCATCGATCTCATGTCCGAGCTCCTCCGTCGCATGAAGTGCGCTTCAAAACCCGACAAGCGCCTTATTCTCATTGGTAATTTTCTGTATTTCTATGTCCATCTTCAGGAATTTTACGTTGTTTTTTGCTTTCTTTTTCTGGTATTTCCTACTGGATACAATTCCGTCCTAGATCCGCGAATTCCAACTCTTCGTGATAAATAGACGTGGTGCTCTTTCGATGGTTTGAAACGTTGGTGCCTTGCTTGAGATTTCTCTCTTGGATTGGCGTTACGAAGCAGTCTCGTTTAGGTCGTCAAGTACTTGTACATTTTATTTTAAAAAAAAAATTAGATCCCTAGGTGGATGTGCAATGGTCATGTAGAGTCGATGATTATCCATATAAAAACTTTATGATTTCTGCATCACTTACTTACTCCATCTCTCGCTAAATAAATCGACAGATTCCTTGTTTAAAAACGTATCTGGTGTGTTAGCTCGTTTATTCCTCGTATCATAGTGCTTAAGCTGAGTATTTTCATCAATTGCTAAAGTTGTTTTTTTTTTTCATGAATATTTACATGGTTGAAATGAGTTCCCCTTTTTCTGTTCACTACGATAGGCTGTATATGAGTACAATGAGTCAGAGGGAAGGAGAAAAGCAGATGTAGATTATTTTATGCTTGTAATTTCAATTTTTAATTCTCATTCCACTGTTAATATTCATGGTGTCCAACCATGATATCATTAAGATCTCATGCATTTTAGTCAATGTACATTCCTATTTAAGATCATTTTTGTTCTACAGGTCCACCTGGATCAGGAAAAGGCACCCAATCGCCAATCATCAAGGATGAATACTGCTTGTGTCACTTGGCTACTGGTGATATGTTAAGAGCTGCTGTTGCTGCAAAAACCCCACTTGGCATTAAGGCTAAGGAGGCTATGGACAACGTATTTTTAGTTTTTTATTTTTTTATTTTTATATAATGCCGGACACAACGTTTTGCATTGCAGTCATCTTGTTTCTTGCTAAAATCTTTTTATTTTCAGGGTGGACTTGTGTCTGATGACTTGGTTGTTGGCATCATAGATGAAGCAGTCAAGAAGCCTTCATGTCAGAAAGGTTTTATTCTTGATGGATTTCCTAGAACAGTGGTCCAAGCACAGAAGGTATCAAATCCTTTACTTATTTTTGCTCTTTGTACTTTATTCAGTGAAGTGGTTCTTGAACTTTTTTGCTCACTCATTTTTCTAACTGCAGCTCGATCAGATGCTAGAAAAGCAGGGTACTAAAATTGATACGGTGCTTAACTTTTCCATTGATGATGCGATCTTGGAGGAGAGGATTACAGGACGATGGATACACCCATCAAGCGGAAGGTCTTACCACACGAAATTTGCTCCTCCAAAGGTTGCTGGTGTTGATGATGTAAGAAAGCCATCTTATTTAGCCTATCCTCTTTCTGGTTTGATAAAAGCTCACAGGATAGAACTTATAGCTTCCCACTAAATTTCATATTTCACAAAATTTTTGGATAACAAACAATTTCAGCGATGGTATGAAATTACAAAGGAGGAGACCTCCAATAGGGAGATAACTAAAGACCTTTCCATTTAGATATATATTTCATGAACCAGCAACAAATTACTAAATCATGTCTGATTCGAAGGTAACGGGGGAACCTTTGATTCAACGGAAGGATGATACTGCAGCAGTTCTCAAATCTCGGCTGGAGGCTTTCCACAAGCAAACAGAGCCGGTACGATCGCTATACGTAATCCTTTTCTTAGCATATTTATCGTGGCACTTTGTGATGCGAATGAAAGTTGTTTGTGTTTTGTAGGTGATAAAGTTGTTTGTGTTTTGTAGGTGATAAAGTTGTTTGTGTTTTGTAGGTGATTGATTACTATTCCAAGAAGAAAATTGTCGCAGAGCTTCAAGCAGAGAAGCCTCCCAAAGAGGTAGCAGAAGAGATTCAGAAAGTGCTCTCATCCTAGAAATGGGCGTGTTATAATAACTTAGCGATGGATGGATCGTTTTCAGCGAAACCATTCATAGCCTTAACTTTTATTGATGTTATTTGGTAAAATCTGCTGACTTTGTGAGATAACCTCATTTGTTTTACAAACCATAGATACACTGATGCTGTGAACTTTTCATTACATAATGCACTACTAGTATTGCTATAAAATAAGAAATAGTTATCTTTTATGAGATTCTTTGGTTAGAACAGAAACTCCATGTTTTGTTTGGAATCACTTTATCGAACAAGTTGCAAGCAAAAAATCATGTGCCTGGCCCCCACTGAATTTTCATTGCCATTTCCGTAGATGCTTTCAATCTGATTCCACCATTTCTTGGCCCCTTGCTGCCTTTTCGTTCGTTTGTTGCATCTCTGTTTGATTTGTTTGATATTTGTTCAGGCTATCGTTAGCTAAGGATTTAAGATGGGGACATTCTGAAGACATACAAACTCGTTAGGGACATTATGAGTTTGTTTCCTTTGGTTTGACTAATGTCCCTAACATATTTTAGGAGTTGATGAATCAATATTTTAGGATTTTCTGGATTGTTTTGTAATTATATTCATCGATGATATGTCGGTTTACTCCATGACGGATGATGAACATAAAGAACATCCGAGGAAAATCTTGTTGATGTTACCTATTTGTCAAATTCTCTAAATGAGAATTTTGGCTTCATAATGTGGTATTTCTTAGTCATGGCATAGCAATTGATGTAATAGGTTGGGTTCAACCGGTTAGGGACAGTTCTCCTATACAAAAAAATTATACTACTTATCAAGTTTCTGAATTTGGTGAGGATTGCTTTTCTGCCAGACCTTTAAGACGAAGTATGCCCATCGAAAATAAGAATATTCCACAAGAAAATAGCTCATTTTAATGGCATTTCACTACCCGTCATGCGCACAATATAGTCGACACAACTTTTGGACTAACCAAATTCACCGTCCAACAAGTGTTCTTATGAAAATTCAACCCACATTTCACTAACCAAGTTATGGCATGGTTAACCATTTACTGTGATTAACGAAAATGAAATGATCAAGGTCCAGAATAAAAAGAAAATGGGTTTTACTGAACATTCTCAAAGCCCATTCTGATTCCCGCAACTCAACAACAATGTTAGATCATTTAGTTCTAAATGCTACGATTTAATGGGGAACACAAATTTCGTAGAAACATTAAAATTAAAATTATAGGAGTTCCCCCGAAGAGAAATCCCTCCAAAAATAGACGTATGCCACTGTGAGCGGCGAGCACACGGTACTCTTTAGTAAAAGGCGAAAGAATAGTTCGCTCTGTGCTCACCACACGGGTCCGTGAATACTTGCGTTCCTCGTTGCTCGTTTTATAGTTGTTAGTGCTTTAGGCGTTTATAGACTTTCCGATGTGGGACAACTCAGCTACTTCAGGTACTCATTCCTTCACTAAGTTCCCTTCTCCAACTAAATAAATTTGTGACCAGAAGAATCATAGGCATATCTGAAATATATCTACGATGGCAGAACTTTTAATTCATGTAAATTCAGCGGCAAATAACAAAGACCATTAGACGTTGCTATCCACCATGAGTTCTTTGTGGGTAAGATAATGAGTTAGGAAAGTGGAATTAACTAGGATGAAGTTAAATGCACTGATGGACTTGAGATAAATAGTTGCAGGGTATGTTTAATCAAAAGGGATTCCTCAAGCTGGACATGGGCATACAGAGATGTGGCTTCATGACAATTTAAACGCATATTTAGGAGCCCATTAAGAATTTTTGTTCGACGGCAGTTTTAGGGGCCATTTAGCCGATTTTGATGTTCCTAATGCCCCAAGTAGTCACTAAGCAAAATCATTTTAGTTATTTAATAAGCTGAACTAAAGATAGCTTCAAATAGTTAGGACTTTAATGTAGGAGCTTCACAGATGAGAAGCCCCTCCAAAAATATGCGTATGCCGCTTTAGACGGCGAACACACGGTATTCTTTAGTAAAAGGCGAAAGAATAGTTCGCTTTGCGTTCATCGCACGGCTTCGTACCCTAAAAAATGGCTTCGCGTATATTTATAGGAATTCCTCTAGCCGCTTATAATGTTTTTTTCGATGTGGGACAGTTTGCGACTTCACTCACCGCCCGCTCCCTCCGTGACTAGACTGAATTGCTTTTTAAACATTACAAATTGGAAGTTTATTTTTTAAAAATTAAATAAATAAAAGTGGATTGAAAAAAATATTTTAGTATCTTAAATTATTTCATGGGGTAAATTATTAATGACTTTTTATGGTTAATTTTGCTAAATTTAAATCTTCTGCCATTTATACAGTGTGTCACAGGGGAAAAGACAAACTTTGAATTTTATGGTTGAGATTATAATGTCGGACAACGAATAATTTTTTTTTATTTATTTATAATTGAATAACTAAAAAAGGAAATGAAATGATTAAATAATAGTAAAACCAAACCGTAGCACATGCATTGGCTAAAAGAAAGAAAAATAACATTTTTTGGTCAAAGATTTATTTTTTGGTATTTTTTGTAATTCCAGCATTAAAAGAACCAAAATTAAGTAAAATCTAAAATGTCGCCAAATAAATTATAATTACAAGTTTTATTTTATTTATTTTAATTTCTCTCCAATTAAACAAATCATTTAAAAGTATTATTTTGATACATTTCTACTCTAATATTTTTAATTATACTTATTGTCCTCCAAAAACTACGCCAATTTGTTGGTTTATTTGTTCTATTATCAATTTTTAGGAGTGTTTTTAAAATTTTGGTTAAATTATTAAAACTAAAAAAATAGTTTCAGCTATTAAAGTTCACATGTAAGTATTTAAATAAGAAAAACGAAATATATCTAAATTATTTTTAGAAAATCTAGCACAAATTTAAGTATATAAAAAAATAATAAAAAAAAATAAAAACCTAAATTATTAAATATATATTTTATAATCTTTCTTAATTTTAGACGGTTGAAGTTCAAAAAAAAAAAAACCCGCTGGCACTATGTTATCGGCGTTATCCGCAAGGTCGCTAAATAGGCGCACCAAAACAAACTACTCTTGCACGGCTCTCTCGTTTTCACCATCTCCGCTCAGCCACTCCAACCTTCGTTTTCAGGTTCCTAATCTCCGCGATATTTCCTCATTCTAGAGATTAGCTTGCTTCCTTCAACATATTCTTCGATTTTACTCTGTTCCTTGATCTCCCTTCCTCGTCCTCGGCCTGGCAATTAGCGGCGGAAATACCTAAATCTTCATTGCCTGAAATTCGGTCGTAATCGAGTCCAATTTCACCGTTCGAAACTTTGAATTGTGAACTTTTTTATACAGGTAAGCGCGGAGTCATTCGTCGGATCAAAGTCTATCGCGCTACGGAAAAGTGAATGACGATGGAAAAAATTATGGAATCGATTTCTTGCTTTACTTTTTTCCTGTTCTTAATTACGTTCTTTGACTGGATTTCATAGATTTGTTTTTTGCTTCTGATTTTCTTTGTTTCTCTTGCTTTGAATGTGATTCTCATTCGTAGCTGCAGCCAAAGCAAGATATTCTTTGATGTCTTCTTTCCGCTCTTTCCTCAACAGCCCTGTTGGCCCTAAAACAACTCATTTTTGGGGGCCTGTTGCTAACTTTGGTTTCGTTGCTGCGGTAAGCTCTTCGATTTTTCCAAATTCTTAGTTTCTTAATTTCTGTTTCTCATGTTCTTCTCTGCTTCCGCTGTAATCAATCGCAGGGGCTTGCAGATGTGAAAAAACCCGCCGATATGATTTCTGGCAGAATGACGGCAGGTTGAAACATTCGCACTCTTGAATGAATTTTGAATACGAACAAGGCATGGTTTCGAATGCGAAATTGTTGTAATAATTGTTTGGTGATATGCAGTTTTGTGCGTGTATTCGTTGCTATGCATGAGATTTGGGTACATGGTTCGGCCTAGGAACTATCTGATTGTGGGATGTCATGGTGCCAATGAGACTGTTCAGCTCTATCTTCTCTCTCGTTGGGCGATGGGCAAGCGAGAGACTCTAAATCGTAGCAACGAGTAGCTTCTTCTTCGTTTCAGTGGCGGTGGTATGAACATGATCGCCATTGTTGCTGTTTCCAATCACTGTTGCTCTGTGATATCGCCGAATAATTAATAAAAGACAATACAGCTATCTTGCTCACTTTAATCTTCGTAATCTCCTCATCTCGTCCTATTCATATCTGGTTTGATCTGGTCTGTTTGGCTCCTCCACTTCATAAAATATAAATGAAGATCATTGTGACAGCTGATGATTATGGACCAACTTGGTCTGTTTGGCTCCACAATGGTATGATATTGTTTACTTTGAGTATAAACTCTCGTAACTTTTCCAAAAGGCCTTACTTCTCCAAAAGTCCTCCTACAGACGATGAAGAGTGTATTCTTAGATTATAACTCATGATCATTTCTTAAATTAACCGAGGTAGGACACTTTCATCCAATTTTTTTTATTATTCAAATCAAACACGTCAAATGACATGAAATCCTTCAAAGACTGAGGGTTCCAAACAGGAGATGTTGAGATCTTCTTCATTTTCAAATGGTTAATTTCAAATTTGATGGATAAAATTGGGGAGGATGCATGTCCCCATAGTAAACTAATGTGATCATTTTCAATTTTCATTATCCATTTTAATATACACAAATTTTTTGGTACCACCGCTCAATAAAAATTATCTTATTTATAATTAATTATAATAAAATAAATTATAAGTATATGAAAAAAAATAATAAATGAAAATAACAATAAACGAAAAGATACATGCGATAAAAATGACAAATATCTCGATATTTACTTTATAATAAAATATCAAATATGATATATAAGATAAAGTATAACTTATGTGAATCCATTAATTTTAATAGAGTTTGATTAATGTATGAGAATACCCTCGTAAAAACCATGTTTCAACAAAAGAAAAATAATCCAATGTTCCAATGTTGATTTTTTATGTTGTTATAGAGTGCAGTTTTTAAAGGATTAAAATTGCATAAATTTAAAATTTAAAATTTAAGTTCGACACTTATTTTAATATTATTCTAATCTAAAAGTTTATGATTAAATTTAATAAAAGTTTTGAAAGTTTTGATTTTTTTTTTCTTCTTCTTCTTTAGAATATGCTTAAGTGGAGGAAAAAAAGAAAAAAGGTATGATTTTAGTCGTTGAAGTAAGTTAATGAGGCATCCGGAATATATTCCAAGAAGGATAAATGTGGTTTTAGTGTCACATCATATATGCAACATTAATATTAAAATCCATTATCCTCAAAACTGAAACAAAAGCGATAAGTTTGCCGACACCAAAATTTGAAATAACGTTTTTAATTAATTATATACGTAACTATATATTATATATGCATACATAAAGGTCAAATAAAATTATTATGAATTTAGCTTTTTATTTTTAAAAGAGTGTCCTGTTGCAATTAATACAACTAATTCGCCAAACATTTTAATACATTCTTTATTTTAATTTTAAAATATTTATGAGATATGAAAACAATAATATAACTTTTAATGCCAATTAATTCAGGAGGATATATATTTTTATAACTTATAGGTGATAGGTACTTTAAATTCTATTATTACAGTTAATGATTTGTAATTAAATATTTATATAAACAGCCAGTATTATTTAATTTAAAGTACCATCGTCTACTTGTGTACTTAATTCAATTCAATCGATCTTAAAAAATTTATTTTATTTTTATTAAATTTAATGAATGCTACCATCAATATATTTGTTATAAAAAATTATAAAATTATTAATCGTATTAAATTAAACTAAAAGCACTTTTTTAAAATTCACGAACCATTGAAATGTTGGCTATATTCGAGGGGGGGGGG